CGTGGCTTGGGGAGCCCACGCTGGCGCTCCAGCCCCTCCACTGCCCCCCTGTGAGGCTGGAGCACACAAAATCTCTAGCCTGGGCCCCCCAGGCTGTGGGGCGGGGTGGGTGTGGGGCGGGGTCCTTTCTCCTCAGCCAGGGGCCCTGTCAGTGAAGGTTTGGTTTGGGGTTGGTTTTTGCTCTCACTTGTGTGCCCCCCCCCGGCTGATTTTTCTGTGGGTCAGTGACCCCCCAGCCAAAAAAGGCTCCCCAGCCCTGACATGGGGCTGTATGCTGCGTTGCTCCTGCCCATCCCCCCCCATGCCAGCCTCTCCCCGGAAAGCTGGATTAACTCTCCATTCCGTCTGGGCAGGTTTTCCCTTCTCCGGGACTTTGCCCTTTGCCACTGGAGGAGCCAGGTGCCCTTTGTCCTGCAGGTGAGACAGCAGGGCCGGCTTGACCCCCCCCCGGCCGTGTGCCTGCCCGGGCTCTGCTCATGGGACGCCAGGGCCTGCTGCCTGACCGCCCTCTCTCATTCCAGGCCCTTGCGGAATCCTGCCCCCTTCTCGCCGCCCTCAAGCTGTCCCACTGCAGCAGCGTGAGCCCCGAGTCCCTGAGCGCGCTGGCTGGACGCTGCCCCCAGCTGGAAAGCTTAAACCTGCAGAATTCCCAGGTGGGGCATGCGGGGCTGTGCTCATGGGACGCCAGGGCCTGCTGCCTGACCGCCCTCTCTCATTCCAGGCCCTTGCGGAATCCTGCCCCCTTCTCGCCGCCCTCAAGCTGTCCCACTGCAGCAGCGTGAGCCCCGAGTCCCTGAGCGCGCTGGCTGGACGCTGCCCCCAGCTGGAAAGCTTAAACCTGCAGAATTCCCAGGTGGGGCATGCGGGGCTGTGCTGAGCCAGGCGGGAGGGGTCAGGCCAGAGACCCCCGAGACCCTCCCAGAAATCTAAGAGTCCCCTCCTGCAGGGCGGTGCTGGGCAAGTCCCTCTTGCTACCGGCCGGGGTGCCACGCAGCCCCCAGGGAGCGCGCCCTGCCGGAGAGGAGCCATCTGCCAGTCCCCTGGGAGCAAGCGAACACGTAACCCTCTCTGAGCCCCGCCATGCCTGCTCCGAGGCTGTAAACGCCGTAGCCCGCCCCGCCCAGATGGAGCCTGGTGCCCCCTTCTCCCATCGCCGTGTCGCTCAGCCAGACGGGGTCTCCCTCAGCTGCTGCAGCCGACAGCTGTGCCTGGGACGGGTCTGTGTGTGTGGCTAATTGGCCGGCCCTTGGAGCGCGGGGCGATGGCTGGCGGCCAAGCGCCGGGTAATAGCCCCTCGCCGCGGGGCCGCCGTTGCTGTGTTCCCAGGTCGACTCCGCGGCTGTGGTGAGCTTCCTGGAGGCCGCTGGCTCTCGGCTCCGGCAGCTCTGGCTGACGTACAGCAGCCGAATGAACGCCGTCGTCACCGCGCTCTCGGTAAGCCCCACAGAGGCCGCTGGGGGAGGCTCTCGCCCGGGTGTTCCCTACCTGGGTGTGACTGTTCCCTGCCCGGGTGTAACTGCACCCTGGGGCGTAGGGGGCAGGTCCGGAGCCTGCTGTGACAGAGGCTCGTGCGCCCGAGGGAGCTGCTTCCGCGGAGAGTGGAAGAGC